GATAAAACTGTTTTTGGACAGCCGTATGCCTTAAACTGCTGGACGATGGTGGGGAATTGACTTCGTAACAATGTATTATTGACTGCTTGACCGTCGTCTGCGACCATCTGTAAGGATTAGTTGAGTCTGGAGCCACGTTTTCGGGCAAGTGGTCACTTTTGAGGGAGGGCCGACGAAGCCGGCGACGGTCAAAGGTCAGTCAGGCGATGTAACGCATGGCTGTTACGGGGACGACCACGGTGTACAGCGCTGGAACCATCCGGCTAGCCACTGGCTGTTCGACGTGCAGACGGATCGGCCACGCAACAAGTGTTTGCCGTTTCCATTCATGTTCGTAGGTATTACAGGTTTCCTCGATAATGAGCTCATTGTTGTGCCGATCGTCTGAGACACCGACAAACATCTGCTGGTAGCGGTGGGTTCGTCGTGAAGGCGGGGCGAACATTATACGATCGTTCCGCTGATTGGTCAGATGGAAAACAATGACACATGTCGCAAGCTGTTTCAGGAAGCCGTTCGCGCGCTGAGTGTACGTGACAGTTTGCGACGCCGACGACCACTCCGACGGTAGTCGATCAGTAATATTTAATATCCGTCGGTTCGCGGTTCAATGTCCACGGCCGTTGTTTTTCGCAGTACCTTGAATTACCTCGCCGCTGCGAGATTTGTTGATGTGTACTTCAGTCTCACCCTCTTCTTCCTGCTCCTCAATGAGCTCATCGTTTAGACGTGTCGTCTGATAGCACTTCGAACTTCTCGTTCTCGACATCATCGTCGTCGTCGTACCACTTCCAGTAGTGCCGAACCGACTGTCTTTCGGTTCGATTTCGTCAGTGGTGTCGACGGTCGATCGTTGAGCCTAGGACCGAGCCGAGCAGCCGCAGCATTCAGTCAGACCTGTCTCGAATTCCTGCCGGCCGGCTCTCAGTCGTTATGGCTCATATTCACTGTGCTTCCCGGTGGACACTGTTCTGGCTCCTGTACTGCCTCGTCATGCAGGTAAGTTCATTCCATGATTCTGTTCAAATAATCTTCACATACCGATGCTTTGTTTGTAATCAGGAGAGTTCGATGATCGTCAACAATCGATTGATCCATCAACTGGTGTCATCATAACTTATGTTTCAGATGAGGACCGTTTCGTCATCCGGCGTCCTCGAGTTTCAACTGGTGTCTTTCGAGAACGTGCGTGGCGTTGACGTTCGTGGCCGCTGCTGTCTACAGCCGTCGCCCGACCGTCAGCAGAGCGAGAACTTCTCTAGGCGGTGTGCCAAGTCCTGTCGTCTTCTGTTGCGTGTCTGTCTCAAGGAGTATCAGAGCGAGGTCAAAGCGGAACCGCCATGCACTTACGGCAGCCGGATGGTCAATGTTCAACAATTCGGTAACCGCATCGACTTCCCAACGCTCAAGTCCGTCACATCC